GTGACTGGCAGATAAGGCCATTTGGAGAAATCAGAAAAGAAAAGACAAAAAAAAAGTGAGAAAGAGAATCATTACTGAAAACTACATCCTTCTCCAATGGAGAGAGGCAGGAGGAAGAGAAACCCAGGGAAGGAAGAGTTGGATCGCTATTTAGAAGGGAAGCCAGACTGTCCACGTGGGTGCTGCCAGCTGTGTCTGGGAGAGGGGACGTGACATGTGCTTGGGTGTGCGTAGCCCTCTCCTAAGGAGTTAATGTCAATTCTCTGCCACAATGAAGAACTGCACCCATGTAGCAGCTTTGGAATCCCAGGGCATTGCTTTCCTGTGCTTGATTTTGCCTCACATCAAAATTAAAATACTGGAATTGATTAACTCTGAAGGTGAAATAGGAAAATTGATGGTAAGATACCAATAAACCACCGTCTTTTAGTCATTGGTAAGTTTTGGAGAAATAAAAGTAAAGTTTCTTATTTATGAACACCAGGATTCCACATTTGGCTACAAAACTACATAATGTGACTTGCTGATAATCTTTAGTCTATTGCCTGTGTTAAATTGGTGGCTATACGGTTATACGTCAGGGAAAGTATGCTAAAATATTAAAAAGGCCAAATGGTAATAGAAAAGAAGCAAATGGACTCTTGCCAAATATGTGACTTGACAAATAACCAAAAACCTTTCCGTGAGTTCCTGTCAATAGACTGTGTTAAGAGAACTCCTGACTATACAGCACCCTTCCCACAGGGTTAATCATCACAGCTGACCCCACATCTAAATACAATCCCCAAATGAAGTTATTTGGATTCCATTTTATTTTGCCAAAAGCACAGGTAGAAGTTAAAAAATATGTTTTTCTCTTCCTCATGGCTGTTACTAAGTAATTGTGTGAATCATAATTGCTGTGAGTCAATTTTTCTATCTATAAACTATGGATAATTAAACTTGCTATTAGAAAGTTTTAGGTAAAGGAAGTTAGGGAAGGAGGAAGGAAGAGAGGGAGGGAGGAAAGAAAAAGGGAAGGAAGGAAGGATTACCAACCTTATAGCTTGAGGGTATCTTTGTAGTGAGGTCAAGTCTTCCTCTTGGCATTCTAATCCCTCTTTTATCCCATACCCCTTCCAGGTACCATTCCCATGAGTCTATGGACTTCCTGTCAGATATTTCTCTATCTGAAGCTCTCCCAAGCAACCATTATATATTATTTGCAACAACATGGGGTGACCACCCTCTGGCCATCTAAGACCTGTTGAAGCAATAAGTCAGAGTCTCCCATTAACAAAACTGTGTGAAAGTTTTGTCTTATCAGGAGGACCCCTCTGATAGTTTCCATGCCACTGTTACAAAATATAAGGATACGGTGTGTTTTCCTTAGTATCCCTGCTGCCTCAGTCATTACAGCAAATCCACCAGCACATTCTATTTACTGTCTGCAGAAGACACATTGTTCTCCTGATTCATTCATAGGCTTATCCAACCTTTCACTCCCTTCCTCCACTTGTTTAATGAATGAATGAATCAGCCAAGAAAAAAATGCTTTGTCATAACAGAATGTTTTTGTGTGTGGACAGATCAATTATGTGATTCAAGAGCAGAAGATTCATATAAATATAATCAGCCATAATTTCAGTCTTATGGTTTCATGTGAAATAGTTGGATCTCTCACAGAACACTATCAAATATTAACATTAATTCAAGGGGCAATTCTCACAATGCCCTTCTGTAGTATACTCTGTTCTTGTGATGAGTTGGTTTAAATTGTATTCAAGCTATAGAATAATAATCTTATAACTAGACACCTGGAAATAATAGATAAAAATTATTTGAAGAATAGGGGTTTTGAAAAGGACATTACATGTCAATCAACTAATACATATTAAGGAATTTCTACTGTGTTTGAGGTAGGATGTTGAACCCTATGGTAATTTAAATATGAGATATAGCCTTAGGCCTTGAGATATAACACCTTAAGGACATTGGTTCCTAGTGTTTATGTAATTTATCAAAGTACATATAGTTAGTTAGTAGCAGAGAATGATTGAGAATCATATCAACTAAGAGAATAAGTATTTTATTTAGGTACAGTTCCAAGAATTTAGCAATCTACAGAGGTCACTATGAAAGACCTTATAACTCCTGAATGAGAAGCAAGAAGAATAAAGTCAGAGATCTATAAAACTGGATGGAACGTGAACGATTCATCAATGGCATCAGCATGGCTGAAAAAAATGTGTAAAAAGGAGAGTGAGCAGTAGGTTTAGAAAAGAGGAACTAGTGTGATTTGAGGATAATGCATGAGGAAAGGCTACCTTACTATCTCCTTTGAAAATGATATACCTGTAGTAGCGAGTGATGTATCAGGGTCTCAAAGCAAAATGTCCATGGCTATTAAGATCGTGCAGTTAATTAATTCCCTTCACACTGGTTCCATGCTTTGGAAGATAATTCTTGATTTCACATTAATGTTTCCATATTATATTACCACCGGGAAAAAACACACTGTGTATAGGTGACCATTTAAAAATATTTTATAATTAAATCTCTACTTAGATTAACAATTTCATATTTAATTTAATGAATTCAAGTGATTTAAGAGACATAGAGCAATTAGAATTTTCTGTTTTGTGTCAGTTTTCAAGGAATCTGCCTATTTCATCGAAGTTGTTGAACTTGTTGGCATAAAGTTTGTAAGAGTCTCTTAATCTTTGCCTGTAGGATCTGAAGTCATAATCCTTCTTTCATCCCTGAAATTGGTGATGTGTCTTCTTCCTTTATATCTTGATCAGTCTAGCGAGGGGTTAATCAATTGGTTGACATTTTCCAAGAACGAAATTTTAGCTTTGTTCACTTTCTCTGTTTTTTCTTGTTTGTTTGTTTGTTGTCTGTTTCATTGACGTTTGCTGTTACGTTTATCATTTCCTTTTTTCTACTTACTCTTGGTTTACTTTGCTCTTTTTCTGAATTTGTAAGGGAGTACCTAAGGCATCACTTTTAGACAATTCTTCTTTTGTAATATAAGCATTTAACATAAGTTTCCTTCAAAGCAGTGTTTTTGCCACATCCCACAGTTTTGATATGCTAAAATTTCATTATCATTCCATTTGAAATATTTTACAGTTTTCCTTATAATTTTGACCCTTTTGTTGCTGTTATTTTTGAGGTTCAGGTGTCCTACTCCTGAAGTAGCATTTTGGTAATTAAGTTTATTGACACCATAGGCAGCTTTGGCACAGATTTTTTTTTCTTCTTTCAGCTTTCCTCAGTGCCCTATGACACTCTTCTTTTAAATTGAAGTATGGTTGATTTATAATGTTGTGTTAGTTTCTGATGTAGAGCAAAGTGATTGAGTTATACATATATATATTTTTTTCATTATAGGTTATTACAAGATATTGAATATAGTTCCCTGTGCTATACAGTAGGACCTTGTTTTTTTAATCTATTTTATATATAGTAGTTTGTATCTGTGAATCCCAAACTCCTAATTTATCCTTCTCCCTCCCCTCTTCCCCTTTGGTCACCATAAGTTTGTTTTCTATGTCTGTTGAGTCTGCTTCTGTTTTGTAAATAAATTTATTTGTATCATATTCTAGATTCCACATATAAGTGATATCATATGATATTTGAATTTCTCTGACTTACTTCACTTAGTATGATAATCTCTAGGTCCATCCATGTTGCTGCAAATGGCATTATTTCATTCTTTTTTATGGCTAAGTAGTATTCCATTGTATATATATATACCACATGTTTATCCATTCATCTGTCGATGGACATTTAGGTTGCTTCCGTGTCTTGGCTATTGTGAATAGTGCTGCTATGAACATTGGGTGTATGTATCTTTTCAAATTACAGTTTTCTCTGGGTATATGGCCAGGAGTGGGATTGCTGGATCATATGGTAGCTCTATTTTTAGTTTTTTAAGGAGCCTCCATACTGTTTCCATAGTGGCTGCACTAATTTACATTCCCACCAACAACGTAGGAGGGTTCCCTTTTCTCCACACCCTCTTCAGCATTTATTGTTTGTGGACTTTTTAATGATGGCCATTCTGACCGGTGTGAGGTGATACCTCACTGTACTTTTGCTTGGCACAGATTTCTTATCGTATTACATGGAAGGAAGGATGCAGAAGGAGGCTAGATCATGCTCAAATGTAGTACATCCTACATAGTAATAATTTGATTTATTTTTGGTTCCAGTCCTTAGGCTACTTAGATGAACATGCACTAAGGAAAATTAAAATATGTAGAAAACAATACAAGACAATTTTGTGACTATTAATTTAAAGTCAAAGGAACTTTTTTTGGTTGGAAGGTAACATATACCTTTGAATTCAGAACAGGAAGTACTCTAGGTTCATAGACAGGAAGATTAGGAATAGTGGGAATAGTGAATAATGCTGTTTCTTTAAATGTTTTCATTAGCTGCAGTCATCCTCAACTTGGGCTCTATTTAATGTCAACACTCCCCAAATTACTACTTTCCTCTTCTCCTCCTGTTGTATTTCTTTATTCTTCACGTTTAGAGAAAAAGTATGAGGAAATTATATAGTCTGACATCCAAACTATTTCACAATCTGGTCACAATATACCTTTTCAATTTTAATATACCTCCATAAAATCTCTGTTCCCGCCCCCTCAATCTACCTCTTTCCCATTGACTCAAATATCATTACCCTCTTCTCGCCTATCCTTTTTCCATTATGTAGACCTTAGTGATTATTCCTTTTTCTTAATTACTTTGTTTATTCAGCTCTTTTACCACTTAGCTATTATGCCCATTATTAACTTTAAATAGCATATTATGTAACATATAAATTTAAATTATATTAAAGAGCTGTATCTTTCCATATTTTGCCCAAGAATTTTTTGCATTCTCACACTTGAATATTCAATAAATGTTTCCTGAGGTTACTGATGATGGTGAGAGTGATGGATTGTAAATCATCTTTGAGAGATTGTGGTTCTTACGTCACTTGTTTATTTTCCTTTATTTTATAGGCACATTTAGAGAAGAGCAGAAATGCACATACCGATCGCTGATGCAAGGCTACATCTGCAAACAGACTGACCAAGTGATCTTAATTCTTGACAGTGCTGATGCCACTTGGGCAATGCAAAAGTTATATCCAGTTGTATCTGTGACTAGTGGTTTTGTTGACACCTTCAGTAGCGTAAATGCCAATACTCCCTGCTCCACTTCAGGGTCTGTATCTGCTTTCTATTCCATTTTACCCACCAAGGAAATCACCAAGGTCTGCTTTGTGGATCAGACTCCTCAAGTTTTGCGTTTTTTTCTATTGGGGAACAAAAGTACCTCCAAGCTCCTCTTGGCTGTATTCTACCATGAACTCCAGAGCCCGAATGTTTTCTTAGGGGAAAGATTCATTACACCTACTCAGGTTCAGTCAACTTCCTCACTGCTGAATGGGTCTATTGGCGCCAACTATTTCAGCATCATGGATAACCTCTTGTATGTTGTCCTACAAGGAGAGGAGCCCATTGAAATTCGCTCAGGTGTTTCCATTCATTTGGCCCTCACTGTGATGTTTTCAGTTCTAGAAAAAGGCTGGGAAATGATGACCCTTGAAAGACTAACTGACTTCTTGCAGGTTAGCCAAGACCAAATCAGATTTATTCATGAGATGCCTGGTAATGAAGCAACCTTAAAGGCCATGGCTGACCGTAGAGCAAAGAGAAAGCGCAATTGCCCAACTGTGACTTGTGCCAGTCATGATAGAGTTGGTCAGCGTAGACTTCTCATGATGGAAATGAGCTCATATAGAGTCCTACTGCCCACCACTATGGAAACTATCTCAAAAGTGATGGTCGTTGAAATTGGTGATCTGCCAGCAGTAAGGAACACTGGAGTAATTCCATCCTTATCAAGTAACAAATTACAGACTTTGGCTCACCAGGTTATCACTGCTCAGCAGACTGGAGTACTAGAGAATGTTCTGAATATGACTATTGGGGCCTTACTGGTGACTCAGTCAAAGGGAGTCATTGGCTATGGGTAAGTACTAATTATAATAACTTCTAAATGAGAGCTGATTTCTTGGAAGCGTATTGCAAATGTCAGCCTACTTACACTGAGTCACATAACCTGTCTGCTTTTTAAGATAAGAATAAAAATGTCAAGAGCCACTTATAGACTTAAATTCTCAATTTTAAAATTCTTTATTAAATCTGTAGTCTTCATGGTTATTCTGTTTCCTGGGTAGATGTAGATGTTTTATTTTGGTACTTTAAAATGAAAAACATGGAGGAAGAGATTTTTCTAAGGCAACTTGTTTTCAATGTGCTTGTTCATTCATTTATCATGTAATGCATATTTAAGCAGTGGGCTAGATTCTGGGTTTGCTAAGGTGAAACAGATATGATCTTTGCCTTATGGGACAAAAACACTATCTATCACAATTCCATAGAGCTATGAGCTAAGACTTGAGTACTCAGGGTGTTGTTAATAATACTGCCTGTAGGGACTGGGGAAGAGACTTATATTTAGGAACATTTTGGAGGGATGCCCAGGAGTTCACTAAGCTAAAGCTGTGACCCTGATTGGGTTTTATTTAACCTAGGATTATAAAGCCCTGAAAGGATGTCAAATTGCATGAGGCAGAACATGATTGCTGCCAACTATGTTTATGGCACAGACCTGTGTAGGATCCATAATACCCTTTGTGCTATGCTCTTCTGACTCTACAAGCTTGTATTTTGAAGTTCTTTACCAGATCAATGTTTACTACACACTTCAGAAGTAAATTTAGCTGAATATTTCCCCGAGCTTAGTACATGAAGAAGTACATGAAGTACACAATAGGAGGAGGCAAGTATAAATGACTCTCAATTTTTTTGTACATTGTATTACCCAAGAAATGAATTGTCCAGCCCAAGTTCATCTAAGACATCTGTCACAAGGTCAAGACTGTTAGAGTCCCAAGCTCTAATTTTTAGCAGATACGAAAGAACCAGAAATGATACTCTAAACTGAGAGACAATATGAAATTGCCATAATGCTTAGAAAACGTGTATAAACTAACCGTTTCACACATGCATGCTGCTGGGTTATAGAGGACTCAGGAGATTCAAACATGGATATTCCCTGCAAGCTTGTCATCACCACTGGAAAAATAAGCTCAAACCTATGCACGTTTTGAGTTGATATAGTTGATGTTGGGTCCCTGAAATAGATAAAAATTATTTAGATTCTGAGCTATGTTACTCAGTGAAAGTTTAGAATGCTCATATTGTTTTAGATTATTCTCTTGCTGCTCTTTTACTGTATTTGTCGTAGTGCTAATAAATAAGCAACTAATATTTAATGGGTATTAATTACTTCTATACAACCATCTCCAGTGGATGTGGTATTCACTATAAAGTAAAAAGCAAAACAAAAAGACACACCTTCACATTTTAAGGAATATTCAACTAATACATTGATTGCCTTTTTATACGTAGAGAAACATATCCAAATGAAAGCTTTGCTAATGTTTATGTAGCATACTTTACCTGTCTTTGGTGTTCCTCTTCCTTACAGGACACTAGTATGTACGGAAGATATGGAAAGAAACCTCAAGCAATTTTTTTTCTGGATTCTGGTTGATGTGAAGGGCTTTGAGGATTGTTAGTTTAGAATTTAAAAATACTCCTAGTTGCATGAGCGCTCAGAATCTATTATATCTTAGATATTTTTACTAACCACTAAACCTTCACCATGTTATTAATGTAATTATGATATTATGCATGATAATATAAAAATCAGGAATCTGAGAAAAGATGGTGCTAATGTATCTTAGCTTACATTTAAATATATTTTCTTTCCTTTAGTCCAGTTTCATTTAGATTCCACCGAGTTCTCATGAGCATATTCTATGTATGGGTGACTAGAGAGAAATAGAGCCAGTTCATTGCTCAATTTTATTTAGATTTTACAGTACTGAGCTTTCTTAATAGGTCATCCTTCTAAAATGACTGATTTTTATATTATATAAAAAAAGACTCGATTGGGATCGACATGTATACACTGAAGTGTATAAAATGGATGACTAATAAGAAAAAAAATAAATTAAAAAAAAAACCCAAACAACAACAACAACAAAAAAGACTCAGTGAATATTTAGCTTTTAACTAGAAGGAGAGCAAAGTCAAAGAGTAGAAGCAATGGAGATAAAGCAGAGGAAACCCAGGAAAGAGAGTGGACCCAGCACAAGTGTAGGTATGCACACATATGTGTGTGGGATATCATCCTATCGTGAGCTTCAGAGAAAAGAGCACCTTTATTGCCCACCATCTGTCATAGCCATCATGTTTTCATTTTTAACTCATGTATTTCTGACTTGATAAGAAACTGCTGAACATGTATCAACAGTTTCACATTAGTAGCTTTTTAAGTTTCCTCACTCTGTATAAGGAACACCTTATCAAGCTGACTTGGAATAGAGAAGAAAACTCAGACAGACAATTGGTGACATGTAGCATCAGTTTTCTGTTGGGATGTGTTATAGTCCCCATCTCTCTCAGTTTCTTTAGTATTTTAAGAGAGGTTTCCTAGATATGCAAAAAAAAAAATCTTCTGAAGCTAACGAAAGGCTGCATCTTAAGTATATCTGAATAACTCTCTGCAGAATGAGAAATGCCATGTCCTAAGGGACTTAATGAGAACCAGCAAGTTTTCCCATGGTCCTAAGAATTGTACAGTATGGTAAACAACCCTGAAGCCTGGGGCAGATCCCAGGGCCAGCCCTGTTTCTTTCACCTTCGATCAGTGTCAACTCAGACTTCCATTGAACTCACTGGAGAGCCATTGACAAGCTAATGAATTGACCTTTAGACAGCAGACATTAGTCTGAGGACATAGGCCTTTCAGTGGAAACATCTACAATGTTCTTTAAAGGTTCACTCTTGTTAATTTAATGGCGTTACATGCATTTCAGCAAATTGAGGCCATATCAGACATTTACTTATCAAGGGGAGTACTACCTGCTTTCAAAAAGCTACCAACTTTCTGCTTTGTGGGGAGAACTGGAGTGCTATTGTTTTAACCAAATAATATACAACACATTGGCCTCTCCCAGTCTTTATCCTCCTCTAGAGGCATCTAGATTTAAGTGTCTTCTGCATGGCTAAGTCTGTTCCATGAACCTGTCTTCCGTCTTCCAAAGCTTTGTTAACCTCTGTTGTTGGTTGCTCTCTCCTCTCCTGCCTTCTTTATCCATGTTGATTTACACCATTTTTATTCATTTTTCTCCTTTTAAGTAATTTCGGTGGAGTAGAGGGAACAGAGATAAACATATGTTCAACCTCTGCTTTTTAAACTTGGGGTTCCCCACGAGGGTCTTATTTTATATTCTGCCTTTTATCTGGAATCCTGGCAGTAGAAATTTGATTTTTGCTCTTTTGAATTTCTTTCCCTCCTGTCTTTTCTTCTTCTCCCTCTCTTTCTCCTGCTTCATAAAAACAACCCACCTCTAAATAATATTCTTTGTCATTTGGTAAGCATAAATATATCTGTATCTTTCATGGAAGTTTAGCTATTGAAATGCTAAAGCTATTTGTGGTTGAGAATTTCTAAAATGACCACCCAAAAGTGTGCTGCCCTAATCCTGGGAACCTATGAATAGGATCAGATAGAATTTTTATGAAGACACTGTGTTATGTGGCACAGTAGACCTTAAGTTGGAGAGAATACCCAGGATTATCAAGGTGGCACAATTACACACAACAGCCCTTAAAAGAGGAGAGCTTTATCCTGCTGTGGCAGAAGAGGAAGGCAGAGAGATTCCAAGTGTGAGAAGGAATTGAAGTGTCACTGCTTTTAGGATGAAAGGCACCACATGAGAAAAAAATCAGATGCACTTTGTAAGTACAGAGTGGACCTTGGCTGACAGCCCACAGGGAAACAGGGACCTCCATTCCACAGCCACAAGGAAATGAATTCCACCAACAATTGGAATGAGTTTGGAAGTGGATTCTCCTGAGAGCCTCCACTTAAGCAGTGAACTCCCAGCCAAGCCTGCCTAAACTCTTGACCCACAACCTGAAGATCATAGATTTGTGATATTTTAAGCCACTGAGTGTGTGGAGTTTTGTTTCACAGCCATAGAAAACTAATACGCTATCTCACATAAAACTCTTTGTTTCTGACGTTGCCATGAACCTTGGACCCTAAAAACAGTTATAGGGAATGTGAGCATGGCTCTGTGGCGGTATACACCTGTGTGTTTTGCACCCTTCACATTAGTAGCTTTTTAAGTTTCCTCACTGTGTATAAGACACACCTTATCAAGCTGACTTGGAATAGAGAAGAAAACTAGGAGAGACAATTGGTGACATGAGTCATTTGGTGACATTCAGGCTCATTTAACATCTTCTCTTGTGCAATCTCTCCCTGCCCCTTGGGCACCTGCATTCTAGGAAACAGCTATTTGGAGTATGCAAGGACAGGGTCTTTCTGTCAACACTGAAGGATGCTCTTCTCAAGACTGGCAGAATATTCATCCGGGAAGGGATTCCCGTACTGCTAGCCTGTCTCTTTCCTCCCTCCTGGCAAAACCACAACTTTGCCATTAAAGAGTGTTTTTGCACCATTTCTTTTTTTCACTACAATACAAATTCACTGCTTTGTTGAGTTAGGTGGATGGCAAAATTATCATAATGGTATTTTATATATGTGGCTTTGCGGGAAAATGAGATGCTCTGCATAAGTAAACTTTCCATTTAATTAAAAATTGTTTATTTTATCACTACATTTTAAAAAAGACTTCATCTCTTAAACTAAAAAGAAATAGATATTATCCAGCCTTATTAAATGGAAAATAATGTAGACCTTTCACATTTTTATTGATGATTCATGTCATCATTAAAACTATCATTTATTTCACAGCTCTGTTACTGCAGTGATGCCCTTAGGGACCCTTGTTCTTATACTAAATGGCCCCAGACCACTAAATCTTTGATTCTACTTCTACAGTTTACATTTTCCCTTCTCTCTTCCTTATAAACAGGAGGAAAATT